GATGGGCTAGCCTGCCTGTCATGGATGATGATGATGACGATGATGTGTGTGTGTGTGTGTGTGTGTGTGTGTGTGTGTGTGTGTGTGTGTGTGCTGAGGTGCCAGGGACTGACTTTCCGGCTGGCAGGCTTTGAGTGAGCAGGGCCAGGGACACACAGCCCCATCCCATGGAACCCCACAGGCTCAGAAGTAGGGCCCGCAAGGAAGAAACAAAAGGCTAAACAAAAGTCTGGCCTGTTCAACCGCATGAGGTCCCTCTTCCTAGCAAAAACTACCTTATCTGAAGAACAAAAGCTCATTTCTTGTTTCATCTCTACCCAGGAGAGAAAGAGGCCACTCCCCAGAGAGTCTTCTTATTTCCAGGTGGCTATTCCTCACCTGGTGCAGAACATACCTTGGGCTTCTATTTGATCTTACTCCTCCCTTTAAGAGGATTTCTCAAGCCAGACTCGGTGGCTCAGCCTGTAATCCCGCGCATTTGGGAGGCTGAGGTGAGTGGATTGCCTGAGCCCGCGGGTTCGAGACCCGCCTGGGCAACTTGGTGAGACCTCATCTCTACAATAAATCAAAAATTAGCCGGGTGTGGTAGAGCGCACCTGTAGTTCCAGCTACCTGGAAGGCTGAGGCGGAAGGATCGCTGGAGCCCAGCAAGCTGAGGCTGTGGTGGCCGGGAGCGGCCACTGCACTCCAGTCTGGGGGACAGAGTGAGACTCCAACTCAAAAAAAAAAAAGAGGATTTCTCATGACCCGACTCCCATTCCTTGCTTCCCTTCTAGCTCCAAATTTTGTCTGACCTTGACGTCCAGTGGGATCCAAGGCTGTGGACCCTTTATGAGGCCAGGAAGGGAAAAATGAGGCCCCACAAGTCGGACTGGTGAGAGATGACACTTAGCCCACGCCCTCTAGAGAGCCGGAAGTGACAGCAGTCACCCTCAGTCTCAGGCCTCTGCTTCTCCCTGCCAGGCCTTGAGGTAGCCTTCTTCTTTACCCTATGCCTCACCTCCATGAGCCCACCAACCTCCATGGGGGCCAGAGAAGCAGGTCTAGCTCACCCTCCAGTTGCAAAGCAGTGCCTGTTTCTGGGGGGTAAGACCTGTACAGTGATAGAGAGTGGCTTTTGCTCTTCCTCTGGTGCTTCACATCACACATATGGGCATACGCACACACACGAACATACACACACATGCACACACATCCTCCTTTCCAGAGGTTCTGGAGGAAAGACTGGGCAGAGGCGTGTTGAAGAGGAGGGTGGGGATTGGAGAGCAGGCGTCATCCAGCACCCCACCTTACTCCTGCTCTCAAGGGAGATAGGCAATCTGCTGCAGCAGCGAGGTTGCCATCTGGTATGCTGACCTGTGCCCCTGTGTGCTAGAGATAGACAGAGAGAAGGTGGGGACACAGGAAGGGTTGGCTGCGGGGGGTGGGGGGGTTGTGTATATATGTCTAAGAATAGATGAGGGTCCAGAAATGTGACAACCAGGCAAGCTTTGGTAAATCAAGGGTCTGCCCATTCCCATCCGCAGGCACTCCCAGCATGGGCAGTCATGCATCTGAGGAGGTCAAGGAGCCCAGGACCTGCATTGCCTCCTAGGTGAGGAAAGAGCTGCAGGGCCTGAGCCCTTGAGCTGCTACTTTAGCCTTTCACCAGGAGAATGTGGCTGCCTGCTTAGTACCCAGAAGAGCCAGCAATCTTTCCCTGGATATCACTAGGCAAGAATCAGAGTAGCACTTGTATTCACACTGTGACCTAATGGCTGGATTCCCAGGAGGAACCCCCCTGGGATCCTGTGTGTCCTTTGTTCCTCCTCAGTCCTGGCCCAGAAAGGGCTATTTTCTTTCTTGGATGACATCCCTCCCCTGCAATCTCAGCTCCAGAATTTTCCCCAAATCACAGGTAATACATTAGCACAGGCATCAGCAAACTGTGACTGAGGGCCAAATGAACCCACTGCCTGTTTCTGTATGGCCTACAATCTAAGAATCATTTTTACATTTTTAAATGATTGGAGGAAAAATCGAAAGAAAAATATTTTAGGATAAGGGAAAATGATATGAAATTCACATTTTGGCATCTATAAATAAAGTTATATTGGAACACAGCCACACTCACTCATGTACGTGTTGCCGATGGCGGCTTTCCCACTACGATGGCAGAGTGGAGTAGTTGCGACAGAAAGCGTGTGGCCCGCATAGTGTAAAATATTTACTATCTGGCCCTTTACAGAAAATGTTTGTGTCCTCTCCCTCACCTTAAGCTATTTTTTGGGAATAAGAGGAATGCCCCGACTTGCGTTCTCAACCACTTGCTCCACACTTACTTGGGCATGTGAAGTTGGCACAAGAATATCTAGGGCCAATGGGAGGAAGCAAACATTTTGGGGGCACTTACAGTATACCAGGCACATTTTCTGTGTTTATCACAATCTTTACAACAGTCTGGAGAGATACAAGGACTAATAGCTCGACTTACATTGTGAAGGCACAGGGGAGAGTAGAAAATTCACCCAAGCCCTTACAGATAGTCAGAGGAGAATCTTAGATTCCAACTCAGATCTGCCTGACTCCAAGACCCATATCCTCTCTGGATCACTGGGATTCTAAGATGACCTCCAGCAGCCCAATGAGGACCCACCAAAATGGCTGCCGGTTTGGGCATCCCCATGAATACGCAGGTGAATTGAGACTTTAGAGACCCAGGCCCACCTCAGGCTCCCTCAGCCTCAGAACCTGGTCCTCAAGTGAAGCTAGTGTGGCAGGCAGCAAGTCAGCAACAGTGACGAAAGAGACAACTCCACATCAGTGCCACCTCCCGCCTCCCCTGCTTCCTCATTCTTTGCTAGCTATTTCATCACCTTTTAGCTTTCCTTTAGGAAGATTCAATTTGCATTTAAACAGAGAACCTCTCTGGAATGACTCTGATATAACATTAAGGTGCTAATTACAAATTCATTCCTCTTTAAATATTAAGGTGCTTCGGTTCATCTCAGGAGTGATGGAAGGCAGCAGGAATGCTTGGTATTGACGTGTAATGAATCTTGAGCTGTTTATTGCAAAGCACTTACAACTTCCCGCCAGCAGAGGGCAGAGAGGAGGTGTTCGCAAGACCTATGTGGGTGTGGGATGTCTTGGGAGCCTAAAATCAATTAGAAATAAGTATCCAACAGCAACAATCTTTGAGAGAAACTGGAAGATAGCCAGTGGGATGGAAGCTCCTGGGTGGTGGGGCACCTAGAAGTCCTCAGGTTGCCAGTTTCCTGAGTTGCTGGTAAGTGCCTCAAGACAGGGTGCGTGCTGACGTATTCACCACTCTTTCTCATCATCAAGTCTCTTGCCTGGCATTTGGTGGGGACTCAAGGAGTATTTGCTGTATGAACAAATGAGTGAACGAGTGGATGAATGAGTCAATAAATCACGGTGGCAGAAATCATTCATTCAACTATAATGAGTCAGGCATGGTTCTAGACAATTTACACATCTCCTTGTTAAATGATCTAGTCCTTTGCATTTTTTCCAGGACCATGCAAATGACAGGCAAATTGCCCTTTACTTGGCAGACAGTACTTTGCATTTTATATACTGACTTGTAATGTCACACCTGTATGCAATATTTAATAATTATAGTAAAATTGTGAGATGTTTTATTATTCCCATTTCATAAATGGGGAAGAAAAATCCAGAAAGGTGAAGAGATTAACCTCAGAGCACCCGGTTTAATCTGAAGCTCAGCCAGGACTTGAACCCTGGTCTCAGGCTCCTGGTGTGGCTCTCTTTCAAGTGTCACACTTCCCCTTGTCCTGGTACTGGGTTGGTCATTCCAGTATTCACATTTTCATGCCCTAAATTTGGCCTTTGTCTTCAAGACGCTAGGAGCCCAAAGTCCAGCCCAGCTGTTCAACCAGGCTTAGTGCTTGGGCTCCAGCCAAATCACTCCACTAGCTGATGCCCAAGAGGTCTTTCATTTCCTGCCTCTACCCTTGGCTTTGTGCTTTCTGCTTCATACGTTCATCCCTGCTTGTTGAAATCCTAGTCATCCTTCCATACTTGGCCCGAATACCACCTCCGTGCATGATCCCTGCAAGCAAGAGTTATTGTTCTCGTTTCCACTGAACCTCATCTGCAACCATGTTACCACTTATGACTACCTTGCCTGATAATCACCACCAATATTCTCAACTCCATGCCAAATTATCTACATACTTTGTATAATTTGAACCTCACAATAATAACAATAATAGTTAACAAAGATATGATGTTTAATATGTGCCATGAACTGATCTAAGCTTTTTTTTTGAGTTGGAGTCTCACTTGTCGCCCAGGCTAGAGTGCAGTGGCATGCTCACATCGACCTGCTGGGCTTTGGCGATCCTCCCACCTCAGCCTTCCAAATAGCCAGAACTACAGGCGTGCGCTACCACTCCCGGCTAATGATCTAAGTTTTGTGTGTATAATTTAGCCTAAAAGGTAGGCACTGTTACTACTATTGTCATTTTACAGATGAGGAAACTGAGACTTAGAGAGGTTAAGCGACTTGCCCAGAATGGGATGTGAAAGCCAGCTTGCCTGGCCCCAGAATCCATGTACCCACCTATGTAGACATTCTATCTTTCTTTCAAGATGGTAAGCATTTTGAAGGCAGGAGCCATGTTAAGTGTCACTCCTGTCAAAGTATAATCCCTTCAGAGACAAGCATAGCAACCTGTATAGACAGATATTTTATAAGTTGAGCTGAATTGGACAAGAAGCCAGAAGTGCTGGATGCTGGTCAGTCTGTGTCCTGGACAGTGATCTTTGAAGTTAATTTGCTGGGTTAAAACCAGATGGAAAGGCCCAGCTGAGGATAAAAGGCCCTTAGAGACCCTTGCCCCTCCCTGGCCCTCATGCCAGCCTGTCTGGCCTGTTCAGCCCTCCTCTCACTAACACACTACCCATCTCCCCACCAGCAGGCACTCAGAATGCCAAGACATCACTCTGCATAGATAGATAGAAATAAAACTTACCTGACCGAGGGGAAAGGAGGACATCCAGTGATCATCTGCAAAAGACAAAGAAAGGGGCTGGAGAGGCTCGGGCAGGTGTTGACTCTGAGATTTGTCCTAGGAGCAGGCTGGGGACAGAGTCTACAGGTCCCCAGGGCTTCCTCCACTGCTGTTGCCTCCAGCTGATCAACTGGGATGCAGCCAGGCCCCTATGCAGAGGGCAGGGGGCCCGCCGGGCCCTGAGTACATAGAAGCTTGGGGGATCCCTGAGCTCCAGGAGGCGTGGCCCCCCACCAAGAGGGCCTCAGCCAGCTAGCCAGAGCCCCAGCGCCTCAGAGCGCCTCTCCCTCCACCGAGTCTCAGCTGCCAGGGCCCGCTCTGTGAGGAGAGAGGGTGAGGGGGCGGACACGCTCGCACACACAGACAATAACTGCCATGGAAACTAACCAACAAAAAGAAGATTTAGGGAGCTGGACTCCTCTGCCAGATGGGAGAGAATGGAGGGAAGAGAGAAAGAGGCTGTCCTTTGCAAAGCTGCCACTTATGCAAAGGGCAAATGTCCACCTCAGCCCTGATCCAACAATGGCAGATTTTCCCTGCTCTGGGGGTGGGGCTGTGGGTTGAAGAGAAGTGGGTTGACCTTTCGTATTAGTGTCTCAAATAACCACCCTGTATAGTTGCCTTTTTATGCACAGATGGGGCACCAGTGGTTCAGAGAGGGTGTACAATTCCAGAAGAAATGCTCAGCACTGCTGGCAAAGCTGGACTTGAGCCTTTCAGGGCAATTTGATCGCTTTGCTTGGGGAGATGGCTCGAAGGTTCCTCTTTAAGCCTAACCTTTTATTTTGTGTGTTTTTTGGTTTTGTTTTGTTTTTGAGGTGGGGGACAGGGTCTTACACTATTACCCAGGCTGCAGTGCAGTGGCACGATCATAGCTCACTGCAGCCTCAAACTCCTGGGCTCAAGTGATCCTCTCATCTCAGCCTCCCGAGTAGCCAAGATAAGCCCAGCCTTTTTTTTTCCATGATGTGAGAGCAGACTGCCTACAATTTAAAGAAAGCAGGTGGGGCTAACACAGGTGTGGGACATATGGCTTCTCCTTTTAATGACTATTAGTTCTGTTGTTTTTTTGATGGGGAGGTTGTCTTGGAATAAGATAAAATCTATTTAAGGAAAATTTGTTTCATCTTCTGAGGAGCTGGTATTGTCAGGAAAAGAATATAAACTGAGCACCAGAAATCCTGCTTCAACTATTTAGCTGTGTGAACTTGGGTGAGTGTCTTCATCTGTAAAATGGGACTAAAGGGGTTGTAGAGAGGATTAAATGAGGTAATATGTACAAAGTACTTAGAACAGTGCTGGGCTCATAGTGTTTGCTATTTTTTATTGCTGTTGTTGTTAATCTTGCTGATCTTCCATTTCCTCAGGTATGAAATTAAGCCAGTAACACCAATCCTCTCATAGGGATTAAATGTGAGGATTAATTATGCTATTATAACTGGTAGAGTGGTGGTTACAAGGGTGTATATATTTGTCAAAACCCACCAAACTGTGGGCTTTATTGTATGCAATTTACACCCCAGTTTTTAAAAGTATGGGCTTACCTAACCAAGTAAATCAGCCATGAGTATCCAGAACTAGGAAATAGTTATCCCTTCTTTTTCTCCGGCTCTCTTTGCAGGAAGAGAGGAAAGAGAACGTGAATGCTAGAAAGAGGATTGTGTAGGGAAAGGGTTTGCATGTAGGCCATATTGATTTTGTAGGTAATGGGCTACCTATTGAGACTCAGACATCCTGGATGTTTCCTGAGGCTTGAACATCAATCCCTCAGCTGCAGAGACAACACCTGGGTAACTGAGTTGCCTTTATCACCCCAGCTCCTAATTTCATAACCTGGTGTAAGAAAGTGAACTGCACTCCAGTGTGCTTCCTGCATCTGTTCCGGAGGCCCCTCATCACTGTTACCTCCCCTCCACAATGATCTGCTTGTCTCGCAGACTCCCTGCTGAGCTGAACTTTGATTCCTTAACAAGGTGGCATGGTGACCATTGGCTGCAGGCTGTCACACCTAATGAAGTGTTGAGCAGAGGAGACAGCCGTTCATCAGAACAGCCATGGATGAATTGAGTGCCACGTTAGAAACTCCTGGAAGAGACTACCACGGCCCAATTAAAGAGGAAGTGTGTGTGTGTGTAAAATGACTGAAGGGGATGGGGAGTCTAATAGAATTAAGAGTCGAGTAAAAGAAATCCCCATAAGCTGATGGCTTGCCAGAACCATGGCTGCTTGGGTGATGCTGGTGATTGGAGCCATGCAGTCAAACCAAAGGGAAGCTTGCTGTTTGTCTCTTTGTTTTATCAGGTGATGCCTATAAATAAACACATAAATGCAATAATCCATATCTGAGAGCAATTTTAAACTCAGTTTGTAATCCATTCCAAGCAAATATTGCTGGGTGATGCTCTTCTTTTCTGTTTTGTTTGGGGTTACAAGATTGAATAAGAGGCAGATGCAAAGATGAGATGATGTTTCAAACACACAATCCTTTCAGTATTCTTTCCTTATCTCTCCAAAGATGTTCATACCCAGAGACAAGGAAGAGAAGGGGGTGAGTTCAGATTGTGGCAACTAAGATAGCCACTAAGATGATTATGGCTCTAATTACAATTCTGAATATGAAATCCTGGTGATGAGGAAGCCTGATGTTCGGCCCAGAACATTTCCAGTGATGAAAACAAGCAACGACTCTTTTGGCGCTGGTCTGATATTCAGTGACAGAATAAAGTTTGTTCCAGCTGAAATTAGCAGGCTAGGGCCAGGGTACAAAGCAAACAAAGGAAGGCAGCCCAGAATCAGCTGGGATTTGGGGACATGGATAAGTCACAAAGCTGGGTTTATCTGCAGGGGTCAGGATTGATCAGCTCAGCATATAGTTCCAAGGCTCTTCTCACTCAGCCACCCCCTCCCACTCATAAAACAAGAAGCCCACGCCGAAATATAAAAAGGTGCTGGATCTAAAATCCGCCTAATTTAAGCTCTGCTCACAAAGGAGGCCAGAGAGCAGAGGGAGGGGTGGAAATCAAGTAAGTAAATGTCAGCCCTGTAGTTGGGAAGAAGCCATTAGCCAGGCTGAGCATCCAATTAGAAGCCATTGAATTAGGGCAGTGAACGAGGGGCCCAGCATCAGAGGGCACTGCGGGGAGGGCCAGGGCGAGTGGGCAGGAAGGAGCAGCAGGAGGCGATCAATGGAGGATTACCGGAAGATGTGCGAATGGCAGGAACAGATGCCTTCCCCGTACCAGGGCACCCAGTCCAGACACCCTTCATGAAATGCCCACATGACTCCTTTGTCCTTTCCCAAATCCTGTCTGAGGGAGCCCAGCCATCCCATGGGCTATTTTGGAAAAGATTTCTCCCTTTCGCCTCAACCCAGAGACAAAATGGGCCGCTCTCAGCCACTCTCGGATTATCAGAACAGACAAAGGAGGGAAGCAAATCCCTTGGCAAATAGTGCTTGGGAGATTTCATTTTCCTGCTTTGTGGTACAGACCTGCTCACACAGATGCTGAAATACAAAGCAAAGTTTCTTCACATGGAGATGTTTTTGTTCAAAGCTTTCATCATTGTTTTATCTTATAACCAGTGGTTGTCACTGCTGAATATTTTAAAAATAAATTCGCATTTCCTTGTCCAGAGAAGGGACAGATTAACGCTTCCCTCCTTTCTTTGATATTGGAAGATTTCAGATTAATTCTGGAAGATGTATAATTTGCCTGTGGTGCCCATGTGCCACTGATCCTAGAATTTTAGGGGAGAAAATTCACTCTGAAAATGGAAACAGAAAGTAGCTCTGATTTAGGACAATCGCGTCTTATTTATTCATTGAACAAATAGCTAATGGGCACCTCCTGAGTGCAAACGTGAGGTAGCAGGGCACATTGGTCTGGTGCTCAGGAAGCTTCCAAGCTTGAGGGGCAGAAAATGCAGGACACACATCTGCAGGGTGGAAGGAAGCGTGTGTTGAGGGACGCGTGATCGGTCTGCTCTTTGCACTCTGAGAGTGGAGAAGAAGAAGCAGTTTTAACTATCTGAGGATGCCAGTGAAGATCTTGCAAGAGAGGTAGTTTGAACTAGGCCTTCAAAAAGGTGTCAGATTTTGGCAAAACTGCGTGGCGGGCATTCTAAGCAAATACAGGAGATCTATGTTTGCAGACCTGGGTGTGGTTGAGACTGACTGTACCTAGAGTTATCAGATAAAATATAGGATGCTGGCTGGGCATGGTAGCTCAAGCCTGTAATCCCAGCACTTTGGGAGGTTGAGGTGAGAGGATTGCCTGAGCCCAGGGGTTCAAGACCAGCCTGGGTATATCAAAAAATTAGCTGGGTGTGGTAGCACATGTCTGTAGTTCCAGCTACTTGGAAGGCTGAGGCAGAAGGATTGCCTGAGCCCAG